CTTTGGGTCCCTGTTGGGGAGAAAGATGGGATATAGATGAGGTAAGTAAATAAAATCTCCAAATCGGTGGAAATAACATTTCCAAAAGAGAAAGGAGCTCAAAGGCCACCTGCTTAGTCCCCAGCAGAGTCCCTTCCACCTGCCCATGCAGAGGTATGAATGACAGCTTGATACAAGACAGGCTCGGGTCCCCGCATATCCATCCCACTGCCACAGGCCCTCCTCTCCAGCAGGAGGAGGTTGGAGGGCCTCATGCATCAGGACAAGGCTCCTTCTGATGGAGGAAGATGCCTCTACTAGCAGGAGGGATCGGAGGGATCCATCCCTGAGGACTGAAGTAGTCCGGTGTCCAGCGCTGGCCTTAAAATTTCCCCCAGCCACTTTTCTATCCACAGTTCCCTCCAAAATGATACAGCCGCCTTGAGGGCTGGGTGGGCTATGTAAGAAGTGGATTTAAATGCCAGAAGCAGCCCTCGTGTTGTGGGACAATGAGGCAGGGATCTAAGTTCCAGATCCAGAGTTGGGACTAGGGATCTGTGCTCAAATCTCAGGTCCACCCCGACCTCAGCTCCTCTTAGAACTCAGTTCCCCTTTAAAAGTGGGACCATTCAAGGGTTTTTCCTCACAGGAGCAGAGCTGCCAGAATAAAAAGGAGGATTCACAAAGCTCTTTTTTATATTATAATAATTAACATTAAGTGCTAAGAATCTGACCCTTTCATGTTACTGTCAGGAAAACTGTTACCAACAAAAAAAAAACAACAGCACAAAACCCTACAACAACAGGAGAAAGAAAATCTTACCGAATCTCGATCCTCAATAACCCGCTGAGGCCTGGCGGGAGTGGCAGGGCTGGTACCTTTCAGCCTCTTGTACTGGGTGAACAAAATGTTCATTGTTGCAAGGAGAACCTCTGACAAATTGTGTCTGATCTACAGGCAGGAAAGAGAAATACAAACACTTTGAAGGCAGGTGGAGTCTACGGCCTATTTTGGTTCACCACCCACCAAAAGGTGAGGCAGATGCCTAATTCTCTGCCAGTGTGCCAAATTATCTGTCCAGGGACAGTCTAAGACTGAGCCATATCACACACACAGGAACACACTGACCACAGGTCAGTGGCTTTTCCAGTGTTCTGTCATTAAGGAGCTCTTTCCAAATCTAGCCTGGTGAGGAAACCTCTGTTCCTTGTAGAAGACGCTGAGGAGCCCTGAGCTGGCCTCCTGGGCTTCCCCAGTGTTCTGCGTGAGCTGAGCCTTTCACCTGCTACACACTCCCCTGAGGCTGTGCATAGCAAGGGGAGATTGGTACGGTAAAGGTAAAGGTTTCCCTTGCTCGAAAGCCAGTTGCATCCGACTCTAGGGTGCGGTGCTCATCTCCGGTTCCAAGCCGAGGAGCCAGCGCTGTCCAAAGACGTTTCCATGGTCATGTGGCCGGCATGACTAGATGCCGAGGTGCACGGAGCGCTGTTACCTTCCCACCGAAGCGGTACCTATTTATCTATTTGCAATTTCTTGCTTTCGAACTGCTAGGCTGGCAGGAGCTGGGACCAGAGACGGGAGCTCACTCCGTCATGCGGCACCCGGGTCTTGAACTGCTGAACTACCGACCTTCCGGTCTGCAGTTCAACAACTTAACTACTGAGCCACCGCGGCCTTTCAGTGGGCAGTGAGTGAAGAGACGAAAGAGAGCAAAGGTTAACAAAGAATGCACAGGGAACTGTAGAAGGTAAAATAACTGAGCCCCTCCTTCTGCACTGGAAGCCCTGCATGGACTCTTCTCTGTCCTCTAAGCTTTCTGCAAAACTAGCCCACAAATATTTCAATACTTTTATGAAATCTAAAAAAACTGGACATGCAGTTCAGATGATGGCAACGTCTGCACAAGCCACCAGAGGGAGCCGGAGTGCTCAGGTTTCATAGTTGGAAGGGAGCCTGCCAAGATGCTGACTCTGCGGATAATGTTCAAAGGAAGCACCAGCACCAGCAACACCTCTCAGATTCCTGACTATTCAGCACTTGACTGCACAGGATCCCTCTTTCGGCAGAGGAAGTCCAGACAGTGAAAACAAAGTGGATAAGGATTAGTTACAAATAAGGAGTGACTGAGACCCTCCAAGGACTTATGGAGGTCATCCTAGTGAGATGCCCATCAAAACGCGGAAATGTGGCCACAAGCCCGGTTTGCTCCTGAGTGGGTTGGTGCCAGCTACAGTTTCCTTCGGCAGACTGCCCTGCTGTTATTCCCAGCTTGGTATTGGCTTCCTCTTGGGTTACTTACTTTTTGGACTCAAACCGTCCTATACGCTTAAAAAAAACCCCAGCATGACTGGCAGACATTTTACAAGTACGGCATTCCCCATCTCTGCACCTTAAAACTGAAGCAGTTGACTAACCTTTGGTCAACCAGATGTTGTGTTGTCCCTTCGTGAAGGACAGGCTGCAGGACAGATGTGACCCAACCATTCCCAGCGTGGTGTTAGGGTGTTCATGGGCTCCACAGTGCCTGCCAATGTGTTTCCTTGCGCCCACTTCTTCCCCAAAGCACTGCAGCTTCCAAGCAAATTGAAGACAAGCCTACATTTTGTAGAACCTTCCCATGTTCTGTGACTGGGTAGCTCCCATGTCTCTGCCCTGCTTATCATGCCAAACCATGTTGGCAGGGTGCCCATCACCTGCTCTCAAAATTCCAGCAGTACCAGCAGGTTCGAGGAGGCTGGGAGTCCCTGGCATAACCTACTCCACCTTCAACTAGCTATTCCCTCTAGAACAGGAAAGCGGCATCTGGGAAAAGGGTCTGCCATGCCTTCGAAGCTGACCTTCTTCCACACAAGATAAACACGGATGTGCCCATTACCTCTTTCTCCAGGGTTAAGGTGTGACACGGAAACTACAAGAAAAATACAACTTGGAACAAGCAAAGTCCCAGTAAAACTGAACTGCCCCCATTTCAATCTTTAATCTGAAGTCCAGATATTTTTTTAAAGCCTGCAGACCAAGGACATTACTTCATTCTTTCCCATTGGCACAAGAGGTGATAAATGTATTTAGGCTCAGCTGAAAGTTTCAGAACCAGGACTAACATGCTGAGAAGGAGCTGGCCCCACAAAGTCAAACTGCAAGGGCCATTTTTGCAGCCGATCAGGCTGGAAACTGATAAGCAGATGCTGGCTGAAAGCCTACAAAATGGATGACTCAGGAAATCAATATGCTCCCAGACATAGAGCAAATTTGTCCATTTTCAGGCCTTTTATCTCCAAGTTTACTTTGCGGCAGGAAAACAATTACCTTATTGACAAACCTGCTTTAAGATATGTTGGAAAGATTACAAGTCATTTTTTATCCTGCTTTTTTAAATAAGAAGAGGAGATCTGGCAGATATACCCCCTCCCCCCCAAGCAGATTGCTTTTTAACAGGAATGCAACAGGATGATTAACATTGGTCCCTATTGGCTGCAAGGGTCAGTAGGGTCTCAGGAAAACAATAATTACTATTTTAATGAATTTTTATAATTCTCTGAGAGGCTGGCTTTTCAAAAGAGACACATGAACAACAAAACTGAACAAATCTTTTCCCCCATCTCAGTACCACAGCTTCACAATGTTGGCCAGACCCGGCCCTTTGTAACAAATCAAAGTGTTCAATCTTGTACGCGCTTTTGGCCTGCTGTGTGAGCAGAAGCCCCTCTAGGCACAGGGAGTCCCATTCTCTGGAGTGCTGGGCAGTGCTTCATATGCACAATGGGAATGAGCATGATGCTCATGGTGCTGCAAATAACAGGGCGCCCTGTGAGTCCATGGGGCCCTGTGTGCACGTCAAAAGCCTTGGGGCCCCCTGAAGAATAAGTGTTTTTAGAGAGGAAGCCACTCTGGAGCAATAGCTTTTTAGAGAGACAGAAATGTAGCCACTTTCCCCCAGGGTATGCCCAAAAAGTAACACAGTGAGCTGGATTTAAATTAAATTGGCAATTTCCACTGATTCTCCCTTCCTGCTACAGATCACGCCCCCCACAACTGTTCCTCAGGGTCCCCTACCCCCCACAAGCAGCGTTTCATGGAGATTGGTGAGCTGCAGTAGGAGAAGTGAGGCAGGAAAGTTCCAGTCTGCTGATGGAAAATTTTGTCTGGATCCAGCCCAGTTTCTCTAATAGAGCTTAATGGTGTCCCTGAGGAAGGTCAGGAAGGCTCTGGTACTTCTGTGCAGAACAGTAACGTTCAACGGGACAATTTAAAAAGTTTAGAAGTGTAGCAGAGTAGCCAAGAGGGTACCTTTATGACAGAATAGGGTTGTAGTCAATGGCAATGATTATTCTAAGTGCTATCCAGCTATTACTGCATCATCTTCACTGCACCTTCTTTGTAACCTTACTTACTACTTTGTCTGTCTGTCTATCCAGTACTGCTCATACAGCTATTGCTTTAAGCAGAAATTAGAAAAGAAATTAAAATAAAAAGACCTTACTTATTATTTCCCTTGTATTTAAGTATTGCACCTACAAATTAGATAGCAGATAGATAGACAACAGATAGCAGATAGCAGATAGCAGATAGATAGCAGATAGATAGCATAGAAGATAGATAGAAGATAGATAGAAGATAGATAGAAGATAGATAGAAGATAGATAGAAGATAGATAGAAGATAGATAGAAGATAGATAGAAGATAGATAGAAGATAGATAGAAGATAGATAGAAGATAGATAGAAGATAGATAGAAGATAGATAGAAGATAGATAGAAGATAGATAGAAGATAGATAGAAGATAGATAGAAGATAGATAGAAGATAGATAGAAGATAGATAGAAGATAGATAGAAGATAGATAGAAGATAGATAGAAGATAGATAGAAGATAGATAGAAGATAGATAGAAGATAGATAGAAGATAGATAGAAGATAGATAGAAGATAGATAGAAGATAGATAGAAGATAGATAGAAGATAGATAGAAGATAGATAGAAGATAGATAGAAGATAGATAGAAGATAGATAGAAGATAGATAGAAGATAGATAGAAGATAGATAGAAGATAGATAGAAGATAGATAGAAGATAGATTTGTCTACAATATTACCTTGTCTTACACAGTTTGCTGTTCACGTTGTCTTTTCATTCTGTACTAATGCACCATTTGTTGGATTTCTCTGCTGTATGAGTACATTGTTTTTATTTGTTGACCTGCCTCAAGTCTCACTGAGATAGGCAGGGTATAAATAAATAAAGCAAATACATCTAGCTACTGCTCAAAGGAAGCTGCGATCTACTGCTATGGTTTTGGTCCAGCAGCACTTTCCATGCCGCCGGTCAGACAGGACTAAGCTCAAAGGGGACCTTGGCCACTGACTAAGGAACAATAGGTCTTTCTTCTTCAACTATGGGCTGGATCCTGGTGTCTTTTCCACTGGCAATAGTGGGGAAGAGAGGCCTCTTTGGACCACTGAAACAAGCTATGCTAGCGAACATGGGACCTACATGAACAAAAGCCACATGGGATCAGGGCGACAGCGAGGATGATAATCGGGCAAGACCAAACAGAGAAACTGATAGGATACACTCCTGCCCGTGAAGGGTACATGATTCATGCTAGTCCTAACCATTTTCCCTGTCTGTAGTGTTGGCTAATAAGGTGGACTGATGCAGGCAGCAACATGCTCATGCACACGGCCCCTCCCCTGAGCACGAGAGCATGGGAAACGAGAACCCCGACCATCAGCACCACTGTCTTCCAGCATCAGCACAGCCTGGCTGTGCCCTAGATGAGAGGGAAGGATGATGGACGGCACCGCAGCTGCTCACCTCGTCACTGAAGTTCCTGAAGGCGGCTACTCTTTCTTCCACGTAGTCTTGACTCAGGGGGACCAGCTTTAGCCGTTCAATTATCTGTAACGAAAGGTGCGTGAATAAGAGCAGATAAGATCAAGTCGAGCCAGAACAGAGCTGCACTGATTCGAGAAAGCCCCATATTTGTGGGTGGGATGTGTAAGGGTATGGTACAACTGATCTAATCAGATCTCGGAAGCTAAGCAGGAGCAATACTGGGATGGGGGCTCCACCCAGGGAGACTCTGCAAAGGAGGGACCGCTGTTTCTCACCTGCCTGGAAAGCCCCTTGCTGGGGTCACCATAAGTCTTTTGCGACTTGCGGGCATATACATTTTACATATATAGAGAGAGTGAGATATAGAGAGAAGACAGGGTTTTGTACCATACCATCTCTAACATCTGTTATACTGTCCCTCGCTCTGATCAAGCTTTCATTTTGCACTGTACATCTGCATCCTGACTCCAACTGGCCCTTCTTGGTAACACCCCTCTCACCATCTGTCCTGGGTATAAGGGATGATGGATCTTCATTCTTATTTGTTTCTGACGAAGTGAGCTTTGGATTCATGAAAGCTCATGCCCTAAAAAACTGTGTTGGTCTCTAAGGTGCTGCTTAACTTGAATTTTGTTTATATGCCACTTTATAAGTTCACCACCATTCTCTCTCTCTCTCTCTCTCTCTGCCTCCTATACAAAATGACAACCCCTGAACCAAACTTGTGTAACCCCAGTAAGAGACTCAGGCCATGATATGACTGGACAAAGGCAACCCAATACCCAGCATCACAACAGAGACCATCACTCAACATGGGATTACCTTTTTCATGTCTCAGTTATGAGTGTACCAAGAGAATTAGGCTTGCAGGAGTGCTAAAGCCCGGTGAAGCAAGGCAATTTGTAAAGGAAAAATCTGAAGCTTACATCAAAGGCCTTGTCAATGTGACCAGCATGATATTCATCGAAAAAAGTGATCAGGTCTAACAGAAGGTAGAATGTAGAGTTGATGGGCTTCTTGGCACTTATCCCCTGAGCTTTATATCTGGAAGAAACAAGAGTGGCCAGACAGGCCACAGCTGTAGTTAATGAGTATACGCAACATGACATTGGTGGGCAGCTCACTGGCCAGAAAAACCACAGTCCAGAGAATACATAACAGCCAGTGTGGTGTAATGGCTAGGATCTGGGAGACCCAGGTTCAAATCCCCACTCTGCCATGGAAGCTTGCTGGGTGACTTTGGGCTAGTCACATGCTTTCAGCCTAACCTACCCTCACAGGGTTCTTGTGAGGATAAAATGGAGAATTACCTAAGCCACCTTGGGTTCTCATTGCGGAGAAAGGTGGGGTATGAATGAAGTAAATAAGTAAGAATGCTTAGCCTTTATGCAGCACTTCAAAGGGCGACTGATTTTAGTGAAGTGTTACATTTTATTTGCAATGCCAGTCTTTCCATATGGTGTTTATTGTGTATTATATTTAGGTATTGTGGGAAGCTGCCTCATGCCCCGATTGCAGGAAAGTGAACTCTAAGCGTATTCCACAAAGTGTCCAAAGTGTTTCACATGTGTTCCTCCAGCCCTTCACCTGGCACTAAGTTTATTAACTTTGATGGCACAGGTGTACCTTTATTCTCCAAGCTTTCTGTTGATGGGGTGCTTCCTCCTCCCCACTGTCGTCTTTGCTTCTTCATCACATACCTGCCGATCTCTTGTTTTCAAAGACTGATCTGCTGCAACTAGTTCTTCTGATTATTCTAGTTCTACTGTTTATTGTGTTGTCAACATTTTAACTGATGTGTGTTCTATCGCTTTCATTATAAGAGACTGTAAACTGTCTCCTGAGCAAGATGGTATGAGCATACTAGACGGGCAAATGTTTTCTTCCAGTTCTTACAACATCTTTGTAAGGCAGGCCAGTTTAATTACTCCCAGATTGTAACAGGGAATAACTTGAGGTTTTGAGATGAGGTAAGCTTTGAAGGACGGATTCTTTGCTTTTACAATTCGGTCTCGTGATAAGTATGCTGTGCTAGCTCTCAGATCATTTGGGTTTTTGTTGCAGGGGTGGGGCAACGATGCAGAGAAACAGATTGTGAGATTTGGAGGAGGGAATTTAATGTTATTTGCCCCTGGTCTTTGCCCATGTTCAGAGCTCTGTGTGAAGGGACAGGTTTTCAAGGTCATTTTCATGGCAATTCCTCTTCATTCAAACCACGTCACAAAACTGACAACCATTGTGCCTGCCCCGGAATTCCATGCCCACTCTAGGAACCAGGTGGGCCTTGCTGGCCACTGAGACTCTAATGAGGGGCATGGGCAGTGTGCCTGTCTATTAAGCCCGTTCCGTGTTTAGCAAATTTCTGATTTCTGAGACATGTTTTTTTTAGAAAAGGAGACAAACTTGATTTCTACACCTGAATAGGTTTCTTTACAGAGATATGAGAGAAAGAACGGCCTGACATTAGAGGCTCCACTCTCTGTGTTTCTGCATGAGAAGCATGCCTCACGATTGGAAGAAGTCAAGCCCAGAGCAGTGACTCATGTCGTGTTGCAATGGGTGACCTCTTAAAAAGGGGAATAGTTCTGTTGCACCTTCAGAGTGCTTAAATGATCTGGACACTGCCAGTTTAGAGATGTGAAACACCACCCCCTCCACCGGCAGACTAGAAGGAGGCAAGGCCAGAACAGTGAATCATGCACACATGTAGTGGGCATTAGGTACTTGGGGAACATTCATTTCTTGAGGCACACAGCTGGTGTAAATGTAAGCTAGCTAGATTATATCTTGCATATTTCCTCCTTTCCAGCTTTGCCAACATCTCTTGCCTACAGCATGCCCAGTGGACTGACAGCTTCTGAAAATGTGTGGGAATAAAAACCAGGATGAGACACTTTCTAACCTGGTGTCTTTTTGCTAAATACATCCCCCAATGAGCTTTCTCAAGCCAGTGTGGAAAAGGCCATGGACCCTCCCCGTGGCTGAGCTAGTGACCCACGACCTTTTGCTCACCTCTCAGCGATAGAAAGTGTCATGTTCTTCAGCCTCTCCTTGTTAGACTGGGGGGCTGTGACCTGGGGGACCACGGGACTCAGCAGCTTGTTCATCAGCTCCAGCACTTTGTCTGGGTTCTGTGGAATGTGCAAAACAGATTCATTACAAAACAGAGGCCTGCCTCTGTGTGTGTGTGCATGCATGTGCATGTGTGTAGGGGAAAGGGAGCTTATTCCCACCTCTTAAAGAATTATACATTTATTTCACATGCATCTTGAAAGTTACCCTGTCAAGTAAGATTGAGATTCTTACAATGGCTTCTAAATTGTGAATCTATGTTGGCTTGATATATTTTAAAAATGTTCTATTCCTCCATAACTGCCCCACCACTGTAAATCTCTTCTTTGGCCTGCCGATCACTAAGCAACCTTATCACAATCAAGGGTCTGTTCCATCCATATCTCCCATGAAATAATGTGCAAAGGGTTTATTTTACTTTTCTCCCTAGAAAGAACACAGGGGGTGCTCCATAAGGAGGTAAACGTGGATTATGAACTTTCTTTTGGAATTCTAGACCCTGACCTCTTACCTGCTTTATCCTATAAAAAAAGAACTTTGAATCTTGTTAATAATGCCAGCTTGCTCTCTTGCTCACATCAGATGATCAACTTATTAAAACTGCATGCTCTGACAAGCCTTAACCTTGACTGAATGTTTTTCTCTCCCACATAGATCTTGGGGAAAGGGGTGTGTGGTTATATTAGGATTCTGAAATCCTCCCCTAGCACCAGCATTATAAAGTCCTTTTGGAAAAACTGTGTCTGCCCCTGCAAAAGAAGCATTATGAGCATTTGAGAGAAGTCCTTGCAGAAGAGACCAGGTGTGTAACAGGATCTATAGGCAGGGCTGTGCATGTGTTTTGAGGGAGGACACAGTGCAGGGTATGGATCTCAAGCTTCCTGAGCACCTCAGTTTTTATTTACAAATGAATAAAAGCAAAAGGTTGCTAGGCCCCAGCAAAATCTCAAAAGTCAGAAAAATGGCTAAATGTGATCTTCAGTGTCATTGCTCCCACTATGATTAGCAAAACAAAAATTATACAAAACCTGACACCTCTGAAGCAGAATTATGCTAAACCAGAGCTTAACATGCTTAACCAGAGCTTAACATGCTTAACTGACATAATTCATGAAAATTACAACATCTAACACAAAACATGGATTGCTTGAAAAACAAAACTTTATTTACTTATTTATTTTTGCATGCTCTACTTATTTTATTCAAAATTTTTCTAGGCTGCCTTTCCACCTTTGTAAGGTCTCCAGGTCTACACAGCAAACCGCATCCCCCTGTGTATTTTTCAAGGTAACCAACTCCATCCACGTACAAGATTCCCAGAGCAACTGTTGGGAAAAGTTGCACATTGAAGGGAGATTTATACATACATTCCCAAAGAGTTAAAAAGGATTAGAGAAATTGTTATTTCTCTAATTGTTATTTTGATGATTCACTAGACAATGTTGGGGCCAGCCATCTTATCACAAGTTAGCACAAAAAGGAGGCGCCAACAGATGCTTGACAACTGGTTGTGTAGGAAGTAGACAAAAAAATGAAAAGGTATCAAGTTCTAAAAGCAGAATTAAATGCTGGATATATGTTTAAAGAACTGGAAAACATTTTTAAATGCATCTTAATCATTTTCTGATTTTAGGGCTTTTCTGCGTGTTTTTATTCCCACTGGCTTTGGCCGCATACTGCTTTGGTTTATCCCTTGATTTCCACGTGCATTTTTATGCCTTTAGTTTTCACTTCCATTTTTATTTTCCCCCTGCTTCTTTCCATTTCTTTTAAGACCACTTTCAACCCAAAATTTTTCTGGGAGTAGGGTTTTGAGTTGGCTTTTTCCTGGGCTGTATTATTTGTGTTGGT